GGTTGGGTCTCGTCCTAGAGTCTCGTACAGACTGGAATCTTCTGAGAAGGACAATCGTGACGACCATCGCAGCAAAGTCGGTGGGGCTTGCAGTTCGATAGTTTCCTTGTTTGAGCACAGACGTAGGAAAATGCGGACCCCAGTCATTCGGAACTACTTTCTCTCTTCACACTCGTTCGATCACTTCGTGAAGCCAGGACGCCAAAATGTTAACAGAACACTTGTGGGTTTCTGTGGGAACACCGTCCTCTCCGGACGCTGTGTTGTTGCGCAGCCTTTGTATTGCATCGGCAACTTCGTCTTCAGAGGGGAGGTAGCACGACACTGCGTAGGTTGGAGATAGATAAACGCTGTTGAAGAGGAGAAGGAGGGTGTGATGCGTTACTCATCAAATATGAGGTGCCTGAAGTGCCGACACCAGCGATCGACCATGGCCGAGTTGTCAGCAAGAAAGTGAACAGTGTGGAGGGCTACCACTACTTTGGCAGAGTGTTCGAGTGTCCCCGACATTTGAGGTCTGTTGTAGCCTGAAGTGGCTGTTTCAGACCAATAATTCTACCGGTCATCCCTAGCCGACTTTGCTGTCATCCTTCGGAGTTGGTGAAAGGAATTATCATTGTGGAACCTGACTCGAACCATCTGGACAGGCAGCTGTAGGGTACTTGCGCCGAGTCAGTCATTGCGGCGCTGCTGAGTTGACCCAATAATTTTCTCAACTGTCTCATAGACGGATACCTTCAGTGATGACCACTTGCTACTGCCTTTTTCGTCGGCTCGGGCCGTAAAACGGGACCGCACTTATGCACTTAGGGCCTCGGTATTGCTGGATTGTCGGAGTTTTGCGGCATCAAGGCCTTTCTCACGTGGCATTTAGAACGCAGAGAGATGAAGTTTCGGGCGCGTGCGAACGAGAACACGGTAAAACCCATGGGAGTTACCAGTGTTGACACCACGCATCGACCTGCTATAGTGGACCAAATTACGGAAAATTGAACAAGCTAGAATATAATTTATTTGACTGGCGGTACGGCTGTTGTTTGAATACCAGGTCAGTAGATGCTTGTGACGATGCTGAAAGCATGTGTTGGTAAA